GCTTGGACCATCTTTAACCCCTTCATTTTATATTTCGCCGAGTCCCAGAATGCTCTCTTCCACTGTTTCCTTGGCAACAGTGGGCAGGAAGGAATGAGAGGGGAGAAGGTAGAAATAGAAACAGGCAGAAGTTCGAGTGGGGAGAAGACAGAAGAACGCATGATGTGGTGATTTAGGAGGAGACCGATGGAGTGGAATATGAAGGGATAGTTCACCCACAAATTAAAGTTCTTTCATCATTTACTCACCCTCATATGACTTTTTCTTCCAAGGACTGTGCTTAAATAGCCTAGATGTATTTATTTGTCCTCAAAGAGGAAATTGTGGAAACTGTTATTTTCCATTTAATAAAAGTGAAAGACCACAGCTGCTGTCAATGCATGATTTTCAGTGAAATAATACTTACATTTCAGTTTGTTCCTGACATAAAGCTACTCGTACAGTCTGACTTCAGAATACTTGGAAACTAAAACTGGAATACACTACACAACTTTTGCCTCGATTTGTAGTCCAAATGAGTCAACACTGAAAGTCAGAGTCAGTCTATAGATTTGACAGAGTTGACAGAAAATTGTGTTGTGAACGATGGGCACAGAATCATCAAACATGCTTGATATTTTGAGCTGGTATTAGAACATATTGTTTTCGTCTTTCATGCTTCTCCTAGCGTGTGTTTCTGCATGAATTTGTCATGTTCGTAACGATTTGTAGTGTGTTATCCTCTGCCGTTTAGTCTATGATGCCCATTTACAAAGTTGGCAAGTGAATGATGGCTAGTGTTTTAAAATATGTTCAGATTTTAAAAGTTGTGTAGTGTATTCCAGCCTGTAGTCATATCTTATGCTGCCTTTTTGTCCTTTAATTAAACTTGACAGCCCATTCACCAATTGTATGAGCTTATATTAAATATTACATTCTGAAAAACTTCTCCTTTTGTGTCCCAATGAATAAAGTCCATATTTTTCCGTATAGGACAAAAAAGGAGATGAAATTGAAATAACGGGTTGAAATAACGATGAGTAAATGAATTGTCACATTGGGGTGAACTATTGTAAAATACACACTGAAAAGTAATAGCACAAATATAAACCAAAAGAATAAATGCCTTCATACTTTTCATACAACATAAACATATTCGCCTCCAAACAACCCATCTCTCTCTCACACACACACACACGTAAATATTATGGAATCGATAAAGAAAAAGTGAGAAAACATCCAAAAGAGAAACTTTTGACCTTTCCTGACCTGTGCTCTTCTGTATTCGTCAACAGAACTGAAAGCGTAATTGAAGAGGGACTGTGATCACAGTAAAACACACTATGTGGGCACAACTCAAGCCAGAGTGAGAGAGAAAAGAAGGGGAAAGAGAGAAAGGAGAAAGCATGATACAGTCTCAGATTAAAAACAAAAGCCTACTACTGTATATGTGGTCATTTCCCCCCAATTTAGGCTCTTAACATATATGTGTTTCTTTCATAACAATTGCATCACAGCACTTGCAACACAGTGTCCAGTTAAAATGGCAACAGCCCAGGTATGTCATTACAGCCCTACGAGAACTTACCTGTGTCTGTGGGCATCAGTAATATGTGTTTGCTGAGATTTTAGTGTTTGTGTTGTGTTTTTTTTTTTTTCATCTTAGCTCATCATAAAATTCCCTCTTTAAATGTCCATGTATCTCTTTCAAGTCTATCAGACAGGTTTGTCTCTCCTCAGCTGATGTTTTGTGTATATGTGCGGCAGAATTGCGTCCCTGATCAGTTAGACTACAGGACTGTAGCACACATCCTAACAGCGTCAGTGTTTCAGCACAGCCCCTAGACAGCATTTGCAATCTTAAAATACTAGAATATTGGAGTTCAGTGTTTCTGGTCCATATAATGAAGGCTTTTCATCTGCTGGCTGTGATGAAACACTGGTCAGTGGACCCCAGAGTGGAGGGCAGTTCCAGGAGAGAGAAGAAACCAGCTTTATTAAAAAAAATAAAACAGAAAATGCAAATAAAACACAACCCTTCCAAGTGACCGTTCACCAAAACCCCTAAGGCATAAAAAGGCATTCCTCTTTGGGCTTCTTTCCGGTAGATATAATGTGGGATGGCAATTATACAGCCCTAAAAAGGCAAAACAGAATAACTACACCCACACTGGAACTGGGGGAAATGGCAACACTGAGTTTCCATTCTCACACATTTGTTTCTGAATCTGAACATTAAGCCAACCCTGTTTGTTCAGGGTGAAATCAAAGTTTAAGAAATGCGATTTTGGACAAAATGCAATGTGTAGTTACTGCGCTTTGCCTTGGAATGGCAGTATACTGTAGTGAGCACTGAAACCCTACAAAGACCTGAGGGGCACTATACTAAGGTGAAAGGTCACCGCTAGGGAGGAGAAGGAGGAGGAAGAAGTCACAGCAACACTGAATGGATTACAGTGCACACACACACACGACAACACACGAACAAGGGAAGACATGTGTAACAGTGTAGCAACAAGAGCTGACATACAAACGCATGACACGACACAACCTGAGGAAGGAGATAACACAACAACAGCTAGTCAGACAAGCGCACCTCAAAAACACACACATCAGAGAATACAATATCCCCAAACACACTCAAATTAGGCAGAAATCACACAACCTGTAATAACATATTTAACACATTTTCATTTCTTCAAATCAGTGGGTGTGTGAACTTGAGTGTGTCTTCAACTATACTGGCCTGAGGGTTAAAAGTGCAGCGTTGACTCGTGTCTGGTGCTCAGTTCAGTCAAGAGAAAAGAGTGTGAATGATGTACAAACAGGAGGAAGAAAAGGTCAAATAATTAATGGAAATAATTAATGATTGAAAAAAATAATTAGAATGACAAAAGTTTAAGAGAGTGAGAAAGACAGAGATGAGGGAGCTAGTGGTGTAATGACATCACTCATATGTTGTAACGCTTAGACTTTGAGGTATATATGTATATATGTTTGAGTCAGAGAGACACAGGAGATATTGATTCTAGCTTGTTACGAGTCAGCATCAGAAATTAACCAAGTCTCAGGGGAAAAATTCCACTGAAAGTTAAAGAAATGCCCCTGATATTTAAAAAGAAAGACATAAAAGTACAATAGGGAATTGTTTTATTTTTCAAAAATGGAATATGATTCACTATATTGAATTCTACGTATATCTCGGGGTTAGTATAAAAAATACAAATGGCAATTATTTAAAAATGGGCATTTATTGGGTTAAGACATCTTATGCACTACTCATTTCTTCATTTATATTTAATTTGATGTTTTATGGGGTTAGATATAATACACCCTCATTAAACGGTAAACAAAATAATTAATTAATTAATTGTAGGGCAAAACTGTAAAAAAAAAGTATATAAAAATATATATACGGCCTATTACTGTAATACAAAAGTGAATTTCTGGCACTGTTGTGAGAATATATCAGTGTAATATTGTACAAAATTGTCAAACACACAGACAGAACACACTGAAGGCATTTGTCCTCCCTGACTCAAATGAATATTGTTCCTGGTAAGTTCAGTTTAGTACTGTGTACTTACAGTAAGTACTGTGTGTGACTAAGTTTGTTTCATATGTAGAGTTGCTCTAAAGTATGAATGTGATAAATATATTCTTAGCGAATGTGTCCTTCTAAAATATAAACTTAATTCCATGTGAAATAGCAGTATGCAGTATGGAGTAAACATTGACAATGTTTGTACTCAACTAATCTCTACACTGCATTACAGGTGGCTTTCTTAAGTGTTACCTCTGATTCATTATGGTTTGATCCAGGAAGAGGCAGAATTGGCATTGAGGTCCTGCTGTAGCAGTGGCCCTTCCGACTTGAACCATTCCTCTCCTGGGTTGGCGCCTGCAGCTTCTAGTGTTTTTGTGGGGGGGTTGTAGGATTTGGTTGTGTAGACGGGTGTATTTAGGATACGTGGAAGTTAATGGAAAGGTGCAGGAGTAAGAATGTATAGTATAGAAAGGAAAGCAGTAGATATTAATCATGCCATTGCAAAAAAGTAAAGGACATGAAAAGACATAAGAGGATGTGTCGCAAAGAGGTGGAGAAGATTGGGAGAAAAGAGGGCAAGGTGAAAGGATGGAACGAGGGAATAAGACATAAGCCAGGGTGGGAGGCCAGGAAGAGAAAGAGAATGAAGTAATCAATCAATGAATGAGAGCAAGAAAGAGCAAAGGCAAGCACGATAGATAGAGATATACAGACAGATGGATAGATAGATGGATAGATGGATAGATAGATAGATAGATAGATAGATAGATAGATAGATAGATAGATAGATAGATAGATAGATAGATAGATAGATAGATAGATAGATAGATAGATAGATAGATAGATAGATAGATAGATAGATAGATAGATAGATAGATAGATAGATAGATAGACAGCATTTGAAGAGCTTGTTGACCATACGCAGTGAATTTGTTTGATAGGCATAGCATTTGTGCTACAGTAGGATTACGTTCACGGAAAAGTCCTGATTTAATCAAAGATTAAACACTATTCCCAAAGATTCGAATTGAATTATTACTGCGTGTGTGCTAGCAGCTTTGCTAAAGATGAGCGCAATTCAGAATGATAGATGTGGTGAATTATGAGGAGAAATGCAAGAGATGGAGGGAGCTATGCTGTTAGTATGGATGCAGGAGAGTATGTTTCAATGCGTAAACCTCTGATGTACTTTGTGAAGTGCTATTCTAAGTGGATCTATATTTAAGTATGGATGTGTGTGTATATATATATATATATATATATACAAAAATATATAGATATGTGTGTATATATATATATATATATATATATATATATATATATCGCTGTAGTCGTTTTTTTTGTTGTTGTTGCAATTTATGTGTGTTTGTCCTAATTCTCAGTAATAAGCATTGGATCATATAACTTACCTTTCTTTGTAATGTACACTTAAAATATGAGTATAGTAACATGCTTGTTTGTGGGTGCCGCATACCTTTCCTGACATTGCTGTCTGTGGTGCGGAACTCTCCGGTACTAAGAAGGAAGCAGGCCCTATCGTGGGGGTAGCGTTCACGGCCCGTGCCTGTCCCCAACCCACCAGTGGCTGGACTCCTGTCATCTGGCCCCAGCACCTGATCTATAGTGGGACAGTCCTCATTGGCCAGAGCTGCGTTTGCAGCGTCCCCATTCTGCTTTGAGTCTGAAAGATAGATAGAGAGAAAGAAAGAAACTATTAGTGGGACTGTGTGCACGTGATATTAGAGAGTCATAGTAACATGAACAGACAGGGATGAAGGAAGAAAAAAGACAGGGAAGAAAAGGGATGAATAAAAAGGAGAAAAAATAGACATGCTACAAAAAGAGCATCAGCATAACTTGATTAAAATGGTGCAGGGGTATTCAGAACATCACACACATATACACAGACACACAAACACACAGACACACACAACATGAATGAGTGTGTCTGAAAGACTGAGATGTGCACACACTCAAACAAAGAAGCTGCAGGGGCACTTGTTCTTATAGCTTCAGACACAGCTGTCAAATCTAATCTGACATGAGTTACTGCTCAACAATTTACAGAAATAAGCCAGGGGGAAAAGCCTGCTAAAGACATGGAGAGAGATAGAAAGAAAGGGAGAATGGGAAGGCGAGGGAGAACATGGCATAGAGACTGTTATGTAATTTGACCTCATTGGTAGGAATTACAAATATTTATCTGTGAAGACAGCAGTCCATATGACCATGAAATCTGCGGGAAGATGAACATTCACACTTGAGTGGTGACAAAAGGGTGATGAATGGATGTCACAAAAGTCTATAGCCTAAAAATCATGACATCAAGTTCGCCAAACCAGATATAACTCACTTTCCTGACAGCCATTTAATTACAGTCATTAAAAGGACCATAAAAATACTTATAATACAATAAAACACAGAGAGGATTTTCTTTCCCCCCAAAATGCTAGTTAATGTTATTGCATTGGACTGAAACTTACTGACTTTACTCACCCAGGGTATGTATACTTTCCTAATTTTTTTGTTTTTTTGTGTGTATTTTTGGCAATATTTAATAAAAAGTAAAACTATTCTGTACAATTTGTCACACTAGTGTTCTTTAATGTTTAACCAGTAAGTTTGTTGTGAAATGCTTTTATTTTGTAATGGCACACTGGTGGTGTTCCAGGTCAAAAATGACCAACCAACAAAAAATACAAATAGCTAATAAATCGCTCGTTGTGCCATATAATCAAATATTGGATTCAATATTTTTGTCAACTTGAGCTTATATTGACCAAATATGATCATCCACTGAAAATTATGGGGGAGATCAAAAATAAGAGAAACATTTAGTGTTCATGAGCGTGTATCTTATGAACATGAACATGCCAAAAACAAGTTGACAAAAATATTGAATCCAATATTTGGCGATAATATAGCACAACGAGTGATATTTAAAAGATAAGCAATTTTTAAAAGGGTGTAATTTTGATCTATTTCGTACAAAATAAAATCATTTCAAAACAAACTTCCTGGTTAAACATTAAAGCACACTAGTGTGGTAAATTGTATAGAATATATTTACTTTTTCAATATTGTCAAAATTACACAAATAATGTTTTTTTTTGGTCCAAAATGTATATGCAAAAGCTCAGATAAAAGAGGCCTACAGTTAAAAAGTAATACAAAACCTGGCCTGATTGAAAGAAAACAAGTAGACAAAAATATTGAATCCAATATTTGGTGATAATATAGCATAACGAGTGATATACAAGCAATTTTTAAAAGGCCCGTCATATTTGATTGAAAACACAAAAGGTGTTATTCCTGCAGTCTGCGGTTTCAGCAATCCCACATGATCATTACAAATCATACTCTACTACAACATGGATCTAATAAACTTGGTACGGCGTAAATGTAGACTCTACGATGATGACACCTATTGAGTCGTAGGCTACGACGCAAGTTAGCATAGAAGAATCAGCATGCGCTAGTGGTGAACAAATCGAGCAAGTGGAATCTGACTTTGGCAATTGTGGTGGAGGAAGCGAAAGAGGAGAATATCGACAGTCATGGCTAGGGAAAAGAGGCCAAATTGGTAAGCTAATTTTGCAAATGGAGCTCGAGGTAAGTAGTGTTAAGTTTTAATGCCATGTTGCATTGATCAACATGGCATTTCATTTTGCATTTTTATTGGCTAGTCAGTAGACGTAGGTTGTAGCAGCAAACTCACTGTGAGATGATCATGCTAAATTTCTGACACTGGGCATTTTACAGGGGTTAACTCTCAACACAACACAAGGGTTAAATATCCACATGACTTTAGTTTATCTATGAAACACAAAAGGAGAAATCTAGCACAATGTTCAAGCTGCTCTTTTCCATACAATGGAAGTAAACGGCAGGCTGTTAAGTGAATAATAATTTAATTTCAGCCTGTTTTTCCGATAAACCTATTGTATTGCTTAGACTAATTTGATTATTTTTATTTTGCACTTTTTGAAGCTTGACATCCCTTGGGTCCTATATCCACCTTCACTGTATAGAAGTGAGAAGCTAAGACATTTTTCACAACATCCCCTTTACCTTTCCACTAAAGAAATAAAGGTATTCGTGTTTGGATTGACATATATGGGTAAAAAATTATTAGTATTTTTTTTTTTTTGGGTGAACCCTTTAAAAATCTAAATAGAAATCAAGCTACAGAATCAGAGCATCTCTCACACATTCCCCAAAAAAATAAACACACTCATACATGGGGACGGGGGACAAACAAATGACGAATTATAAGTTTTATAATTTTCGTTTTCCACTACTTAATAAAACTTCACTAACAGTTATGGATATATAACAACACTTCAACAACACATTATGGATATGATCCCAGTACTGCAGGTGTCAAGCGCGTTTGGGATTTGAAGCTACAGGAGTCCACATGTGCTAAAGCGTTTCTTCACAGCAAGTGTCTCAGGATGATTATGCTCCCTTTTATTTCCTCAGGAAATTCCAGCTGTGAGAACTCCATGAAAAAGCAAAACAGCTACGAACTACAGCTCTCATCCACTTAAGAGGCTGCTTGTTCTAAATAATTGAACTTTTTATGAAAAAAATGTCCAAGTTATCCTATTTATAAAGATGTAATGTTGAATCTATTACACATCTGACAAAATCGGTTTTGAAATCAGTTGAAAATCACCAGAGGTAAGCAGAGTGCTGTTGATTTGAAACCGTCTGCCTGCATTATAGATCAAATATCGCATAATGCTAATCTGAGGGGTCGTGACTAATCTGCCTCATGTTAATCTTAGCATGGGGTGTGTATATTTGAGTTCTGCACACACAGTAATGACAGACGGAGCTCTCTCGGCTGCATGAACTCATGCACAGGCTCAACCTGACTGACACCTTCACATGCAAACACACACGTATAGCCAAAAAAATATGATTTTCTTTGTCTATTGTTTGTTTGTTTTTTAACGATAGTTTGTGTGTGTATATATATTTGGATTAAAAAAGAATAATTTTTACTGGAAAATAAGACAAATATAATGATTAGCAAAATGAGTTTGTGCAGTCGAGTGCGCAAATAAACTGCACACACAAATAGGACTGTACGTGTCAATCATCTACCAAAAGCTGTTTGCTAGATTCGGGATCATTTTCCCTTCCCTTCTGATTGGCTGGGATATTTTCTAGTAGCCTTGGGAACTGATTGGAACGCATGAAACATAATCCTGCTATAAATTTTAATAATAACATCCCTGTCCTCTGTCAAAATTGGCCGTGACAGCCCAGTTTTGCATATTACTACTTTCAAATATATACTGTACGTGTGTGTATGTGTGTAGACAGTTTTACACACAAGATTATATAAAAGACCCAGTTTAGGCGATGGCATTTCATTATAAAGGTCTGTAAGTGATGAGCACAGGCAGAACGTTCATGATGGGTGAGATGGGGCTAGCTGACATCACTCTCAAAAATATACTCACTATAGCATATTTTTGTTGGTAATAAAGCACTTGTTTGGCTTGTTGTTGGAAATGTAACCTGGCTATCAGTGCAGAGAGACCTCACACACACAGACATGTAAACACATGGCTACACTCACACTCACACGCACACACACCTGCTCTGTTAATCTCTATGATTTCCTCCTGTGCAAGAGGACAGTCTCCTGCCATGCTTCCAGAGCCCACCATACCGCCCAGCACATTACCCATGATCCTGTGCGGTGAGGCAGTGGCCATTGCCAGGGCATCTGGCTTACAGTAGTTGGGCGATCCAGGCTGCGGAGCCCGCGGGATGTGCTTGTTCTTTTTCTTGGGCAGCTTCTGCTTGGCCATGGCCAGAGAGTAGTACATGCCGAAGTTATTTACAATGACGGGCACAGGCATGGCGATGGTCAGCACGCCTGCCAGGGCGCACAGGGCACCCACCAACATACCAGACCATGTTTCGGGATACATGTCACCATAGCCCAGCGTTGTCATGGTGACCACGGCCCACCAGAAGCCGATGGGGATGTTTTTGAAGGTGGTGTGGGCGCTCGCCGTGGGGTCAGCAGGGTCGGCGCCGATGCGCTCGGCGTAGTAGATCATAGTGGCGAAGATGAGCACTCCGAGAGCGAGGAAGATGATAAGGAGCAAGAATTCATTGGTGCTGGCGCGGAGCGTGTGACCAAGCACTCTCAGCCCCACGAAATGCCGAGTTAGCTTGAAGATTCGCAGGATTCGGACGAATCGCACCACGCGCAAAAAGCCCAGCACGTCTTTCGCCGCTTTAGAGGAGAGGCCGCTCAACGCCACCTCCAGGTAAAAGGGCAGGATGGCTACAAAGTCAATGATGTTCAGCGAGCTCTTGAAGAACTCGGCCTTGTCCGGGCAGAAGATGACACGGGCGAACACCTCGATGGTGAACCAGATGACGCATACGCCCTCCACGTAGGTCAGCCAGTTGTCCGTCACTACCTCATACACAATCTCCTCCCGCGTGACGTTCCCCACTGTCACGTTCTCTGTCTTATTGTAGATGGTGTTGAAGGCCTCATGTGTCTCCAAGCAAAAAGTTGAGATGGAGATGAGGATGAACAGGAGCGAGCCGAACGCCACATACTAAAAACAGAGAGAGGAAGACAGAGAGAGACAGGAAGACACAAAGAGAGATGAGAAGATGAGCACAATTATATTATACAGAGAAATCAGTGAGATCACTATTGGATCACTATTAACATCAAGAACGGTTACAGTGTCATTTCTATGGCAAAATTGCAGAAATAATAACAGTCTAATCATCAACATGATCTAGATCAGGGTCTTCAACAAGCGCTCTGCCAATTATTGTTTTAAACCAAACACTAAGGCTCAATCCCAATTCACCCCTTGTTTTCGAGTGTACCCCTTGATCCTTAAAACAGAGTTACAAGGGCCAAGGGGTTGAAATATTCCCCTACGAAATGGAACAACCCTTCATGAACCTGATACGTCATCCGTCGTCGGCGATGGCTCTGCCGTCACAGGATTTCTCCATGACTGCTCTTAACTTTGAGAAAAATCTATGTCTTTTCTGATTCGGAAAGGTAAGTCATTATACAATTTCTTAATTTAAATGACTGTAGTATTATTATAAGAGTAAATAAAGTGCATGGTGGTGTCATCTGGTGCTAAATTTAAATGTTTAACCATTTGAGAAGCCATCTCGCAGGTGACTTGCGATGCATTCTGTGATCTTTCTTGTAGCCCTTCGTTTGGAGTGTGCCTCTGAAAAATCTCAGTTTTGAGGGATATGTAGCCCTACCCCTCGATCTCAACAAGAATCGGACTCCCTACTCCTAGTCGTGAACGCGCAAAACGGAGCGGTAGGGCCAAGGGGTGAATTGGGATTGAGCCTTAGTTGTGTCCCAAATGACATAATATATATATAGTATGTACTCTACAATTTCACATTAGTAAACTCATGTGAAAAAAACTTCTTGTCTATAGTCAACAGTGTAGCGATGTACGGAGCACGTTTGTCAATGTGGGGAATCCATAAACTCTGCATTTCCGCACTCTTTGACCCTCATGTGAGTGAATTCCTAATTAATTGACTGGAATTTCCCCAGCATAACAACTAAATGTGGCCGTAGCTTAATGTATGAATTTTAGAAGATTATTTTCTCGTCTAGTCTGAAAGCCCTTCCCCTGTTGTTTGTACGGTTAAAAAGTGCATCATTCCAGTATTTTAAGTGCACCATTTCTTGTCGGTATTTTCAGTAGGAACACTCTATTCACACTATTTACGGTAGGCCTATACTACAAAATGGCTACCATAGAATAGAGCACAAGCACACAAATTGGGACGCATCTTAAATTTTGTAGAAAATGAACCAAGCTAAACCTAAACTTAAAAAGCTGAGTTCCACTAAACGTTTCATTGTTTCTCAAAGATTCAAATATACCTTGTAAAATTTAAATGTAATAATAATAGTTGTTTTAATGGCCCTGCAACTTACGTATCATAAAGTATGTGCATGCATTAATATGAAACAACACACATTATTATAGGCCAGGCTTAAAATGCAACACTCAATTAAAACCTTAACAGAGGGTCCCGTCCCTGCTTGGTCTTTCTATACAACAAAGTGTCCTTGGACTGAAAAAGGTTCAAGACACCTTTTCTAGATAGATGGATTTTATAAAAATCAAAATAGCAAGCTGGGATTCTCTCTTTCTGTGCTCAAAACCGTAAGCTGTTGGCAGCAGGTACAGAAGAACATTGAAAACAATCATATACATTAGTGCCATAACATCCAGGGGCTGCTGTGATGCAGTTTGAACCACTGCAGAGGTCGTTCTCAATCACAAAGAGATCGTTCTACCACAGATAGAGGGCGCCAAATACTACAACAAAACAGCGAGTGCTCTGTGAATAGTGAGACTGGTGTTAATGCAGCAGTCTCATTGACACGCTGCACTGAGGAAACACCACAGAAAAGGAAGATGGGGTAAAGGAGACTTTGTGAAATGAGTGAAGACGATGAGAGTAGATGATAGAGGCAGTGAATGAGAGAAGAGATGGGTATGTATACACAGTACTGGAATGGAGGGGAAGAAGAGAGAGAGAGAGAGAACAAATAATAATAATTAGAAATGAAAAAAGAGAAAAGGGGAAATGAGGGGCTAGTGAATTATAGCAGTGACCATTCTGAAAAAAGAGATGTCATGTTGTCTCTCCTGTAGATAGATGTACATTGATTGGCTGGTGCACATCTCTTGTTAAAACCCACAGCCTCTTCTACTATCACCTGCAATCAATATAATCTGTTTATCTCAGTCCACCTCAGTGCCAGCATCCATACTGTGATTTTTTTTATGTAGCCCATCATTAAAGCCATTTATTTGGAAGTGTGTGTGTGTGAAGCGCTGCTGCTGCCATTCCCCCTCTGCAGTGCTCGCATTATTCTCCCCACTCCCCGCTTCTCATTTCTCCCCCTCCTCTCTGTCAGTCCACACTTGCCCCTCCTCCCTTTACTGGGGTAAACCATTCCTTTTGCAGAGGAATATCTCTCCACCTCCTTTTCTGCCTCCAGTCTTCTGGCTCCTCTGCACTGACAGTCCTCCTACCATGTTTTCAATTTTTCTGTCTCTGTGGCTTTCCTGCAAGTTGCCCAGATGTCCCACACATTTCACAATGGCATGGCAGACATTTACAGTGCAAAAATAATTGTCATACTAGTCATCAAGTGTTTTAGCTGGTTTTCCCAGTAAAAATATCTAAACTAAATATATTTACCTGAGATTTATCTTCAGAGAATATATTGTGAGTAAAGATTATTTTACCTTACACCATTGCCAAATTGTTTTTTAAAGAATGAATAATCACAAAATGTTGATGAAACAAAAAGAGAAAAAGAAAAACTTGCCAATGGGGTAAGAAAAATAAATATAATTTTTATTCACTGAAAGAAAAATTAAGTATCTTTTTATCATTATTATTTTGTTTATTAAGGGTTGCAATGAAACCGAAATATGAACAGATATTTTCTTCCGTATTGCGATGTACAAACGAATTATGAAAAATAAAAATAAATGTAGGATGGGGACATGTTTCTATGAGATGTTGACTGGATTTGGCCATTGCACTCAAACATAAATTAAATATTACATTTTGTTTAATCATTATGAGGTAAAACATTTATACAGTTGCAATCTAAATTATTAAACCCCCCGGAGACTGTAATAATTCACAAATGTAAGCTTTTCTAAATATAGTTCTAAAAAATGCATCTATAATAGTTTACAAGATATAATGTCAATATATAATGTAATGCTTTTTTTGTGGTAATAGCTGTCATAATTATTCAACATGCTGTTTTCAGTCACTTCATTGTTTGGTATAATTTAAAATTGTGTTAAAATACAATTAAGCCTTTGGAAACTCTATAGCAAAACTGAAAGAGATTGTTCTGTTACACATAAATGAATTTATCCCATGCAAGTGCTAAAGTTGAGTCAAAAGAACTCTCACAAAAGAGAGAAGAAAATGTTTTATTACATAAAAAATTCTATGGCTACAACAGATTCCAAAACACTAAAAGTTCCTAGAGACACAGCTGGCAGCCCTTATTCATTAGTTTAACATTTGTTGTACCAGAAAACTTTTAATGTGGTGAAGAAAAAGCAAAATATCATTAGGGGAATAAAATGTTTGATCAGATTAACTGAGAGCAAAGGATTACAAGAGCATGTGATAAAAGTAAAAAACTTTTCAATGCATAATATAAGAAGAACACTACAAGCATGGCCTTCATGTTGGGATATCTTGCAGAATCCCACTCTTGACCAAGAAGAACGTAAAAGGCAGACTTGAATATGCTCAAATTAATTTGGATAGATCTGTGGAGTCCTGGAAGAATGATTTATGGAGTGAACTTTTTGGACCCATGGATCTAGAGCCCGTTCTCATCCCAAGGCGCCATATACCATTACCACGCTTTTGTCAAAGCGTAGACATCCAACGCACATGGCACCCATTAGCGTCAAATGAGACACAGATATATTTGGGGCAGAAGGCGCCTCCTAGTGGTCTAACCCTAACCCTATCCCAGACCTAAACCTACCATAACCGAAGCATCTCATTTGAAGCTAATGAGTGCCATGTGCGTAGGATGTCTACGCTTCTAAGCACTTACAGGCAGCGTTTATTGGAGGTTCTAAAGAATAAAAAAAAAGGTTCTGCACAAAATGTGACTTTTGGGGGTTGAATAATTTTGCACATGAATGTTTAGAGCCAATTCGATTTTTTCTTTTTCTTAAATGATAATCTTAACATTCTCAGAATCACTCAAATGTGCATTAATAAACTTCCCATAATATTTTACTGATCCCTTTGTTGAATTAATAAAATTTGGTTCTCAGCAGAAAATGTCAATTTTATTGAATAATTTTGATTGCAACCAAGTAAAAAATTAAGCAAATACTTTGATAATAAGATCTGTAACATGCATTAAAAAAAATCAATAGTGTGAATTTGAATTTCATGCGTGATTAAGCGTAAAGATTGTGATCTCGATTCTAAGACCAACAAGATCTTATTCTTTAAAGACGATGATTAGACTTTTTCATTAAACGCTGATTTAATCAGTAATGAAACAAGTAAGGTGTGTTTGACTTGAAGAGGCGCTGGGCAGACTGATCGGTGTATGACATCAAATGATATACCGTCTGCTCTCTAATCACCCTCACTGTACTTGATATCATACAACAATCTGTCTGAGCAGAACTGCTTCAAGTTGAACACAACTGTAAAGTAATAACGAGTGAGTCATTGAATCATTCATTTAAACTGATTAATAATTAAGCAATTAACATTTTCAGTTCAGTTCAGTTCAAATTCTTTATTCAGTCATGATGTTATTACAGACACAATATTAATCACAACAACAACAAAATAATAACATTCAATGCTGAGCATGTGAATTAGACTGAGATTTGTTTGTTTTTTTTGTCAGAACCAATAGTAGAGTACCGGTTATTTAGTTTAGTTATCTGTTCAGAATTGTCAGAGAACAGTGATCTCTATGTGAAAAAAAATTGTGATTCTCAATTTTAAGATTCTCAAAAAGTAAATTTAT